CTTTTACTTCATGTGGTGGGAGACAATCACAACCATCATATACTGGCCACTCTCATTCATATTAAGACTTAGACTTATAAAGGAAACTATGATATGTGAACCTAATTATTTTGAATCAAATTGAATTAGGAAGGGGGGAAGAACAATGGTGTGATAATGAATGGAAGGGGGAATGGAAGTTAAACAGATTTTGGAACAAGATCTGGATCCCCTGCATGAAAAAAATATTGTAGGTAATAATTAAATTAATTGAACTGATTTGCATCCATAAGGCTGAATGCTAATTTGTTGAAACAGTTATTTGAATGGGAAATGGCTTGCTTCCTATGAAAGGTATGGTCTGTAATATATTTCAAACTTTTCTGTAGTCTATAATTTAAATCCAAAAACCAATGTGGCACTTGCACTTCTCTCCATGCATCAGATGAAAGCATATGCTACTAATTTCTTTCTCTCAAATAGTCCAAAAGATCCCTTTGCATACTGATATTCCAGACTAACACAGCCTAAATCTGCACTGTGCAGGTAATTGTGATTGAATTTTCTCTCCTCCCTTTCAGTGTCTAAAAATCACCTACAAAGAATTTCCCTAGCTCTGCAGAACCACTGGGGGGTATTTATGGGAAGGAAGATCACCCCCTCCTAGTTTCATTGGAGTCTATTGACCTGCCAATGTACATCCACTGCTAGATCCTACCACAGATCTCAATATAATTTAGCATATGTAAAGTGTATGCAAATATGTGTCTAGAGGCTAGCAAAGCCTCTTACTACCATTGAAAAAACAGATACCCAAACCACTAAATTCAGTAGTCCACCCTGTACTAAATATTGAAGGGGTCATTTTCTCAACTTCCTCGATATTTCTGTGTCTAAAATTTTGCTTATAAAGTTTTCTTCTTTTTAAGGCAGGCTTCCTGTACTATCAAGCAATATCATCATTTATTAAGAAAAAGTATAGATTCTCGGCTAGAGCACTTGGGGACAACTAACTCTGCTCTCCAGAATGCCAAGTTCTTCTCCTCAGATGCCAGTCCTCCTCAATGAATTGTGATGGACTTTTCTTGAGTGATTCATCAGTGCTCATAACTATTCATGTATCCATTTTTAAAAGTATCTTTGGTTTCACATAGTGTTAAACCAAAGAATTAGAACTTAAATATCACTTAGTGGTATGCTTTTCTACAATCAGTATTTAATAATAACCATGAAGTTATTAATGCAATTTGATATCATCACCAGAGAAACTGTGTTTCTCTGTGCCTTGTTTAATTCATCAGTATCATCCCTAACTCTATTTTTGTTTGTGTCTTCATTCATTATTCATTCACACTTCCACTTACAAAATCCAATTTCCTCTCTGAACTTGTTGCCACACCACAAGATTACCAGCTTGACAGAAAAAAAATAATTACTAGCTGTTTGAGGAAAAGATGGAGATTGTCATATTCCAGTTCCCTAAATCCAGCAGGATAATCTGCATATTATGCAGATTTGGAGAATATGAAAATGAAAACTTTTTCACATTATGAAAAAGAAACAGTTTACTTGTTGCTTTGTTTTTCTACCATTATGTTTCAGCCTTAGCACCATATACATAGTAAGCACAGATCTGAGAAAGACTGTGTAGTGTAACAGGTACTGGATTTCAAACAGACAGACCCAAGTTCAAATCCCTCCTTGGTTACAAAACTTTCAGCAGGAGTAGCCAACTATTCCAGTTCTAGAGACTGCACATGCCCCTCATGTGACCAAGGAGGGTTGCACACACTCACATTCATTATGTATCCTACAGCCTGCAACTCAGAGTACTTCCCACAATCCCATCAGTGACAGACACTTTCAGTAGAGGAAGCATCACTATTCATCAGTCCTGGGCAGCATTGTTTTAAAGGAACAGAGTATTAGTCTGCTATCATCTGCAAAGCAGGACTTCTCCTACTTCAGGCAGTGGGAGAGCCTGGGCCACCACAGTCCACAAAGGCATATGCTAAATAGAATTGATTAGCCTTTAAATTGCTGTATAAGTCTTTGATGTTTGCTATGCTGTTATCTCTTTTCCTCCTTGAATCCTATTTCTGGAGAAAGGCAGGTGTGAAGACAACAGGCAGATTAGACTAGCCAATGGGAGTGAAGCCAGGAAAAGGTGGGGGCTGCTCCCACGAGTGAGTATATAAGAGCAAAGAGCAGGTTTGAAAGGGTTGCTGATGTTTAGTGTGCCCTGAGGGGTGAAGAGCATTCAACGCTAGGTTAGGCTGCTGTGAGGGGCAGTTAGAAAGGGTTTTAGGTAGCCAAGAAAGGAACAAAGAGTGTCTTTAATTATACTGTTGTAGTGTCCTGTGGGAGACAAAATGTTTGGTGACTAGTGGAGTCATAGGTAACCAGAAGGGTTATAAGATACAAAAGTTTAATAAAATTTAGGGCCTCTTCAGACGGCACTTTGTGCCATCTTGGAGGCAGGGAAGGGGAGGTGCAGCCAGATGCCAGGCGCCCCAACCCTTTTCCAAGGATGTCATCAGAGCGCCTGTCATTACACACAGTGAGCGCTCTGATGACATCCTTCCATCGCAGTGTTCAGACACACTGCGATGGAGGAGACGCTATTTTAGCACTCCTTCCTGGGCCGGCATAAGAGTGGATTGGGGCCGAGGCGTGGGCCAGCCTCGACCCCAGTCCATTGCTTCTCGGGGCGGCCCACAGCCGCCCATCTGCACCCCCCCTTAGTCTGTAAGGAAACACACACACACACACACACATATATATATAGCTGTAAAGAAACAATTACAAAGACAAACTAAAGAAACTGTCAAACTGCATAACTAATAATGTTAAAGTAAAGCTGTTAAGATGGAGCTCTTCCGGCAAGCCTTTCCCGAGTAGATAACTGGCCACCAAAAAATTATGCCTGTCCATGTTTTCCTTTATAGTTATTTTAATTTACTTGTTATTTATTGTAACTCGTTATTTTTAAGTATGTTTTAAATCTCAATTGTTTAATTGTATTTTAAGGGGGTGGGCTATTGGGGGACAGCATTGTTTGTTTTATCTTGTAAGCCGCCCCAGTTGTATTTTACAGAGAGATAGGATATAAATAAATTTTATTATTATTATTATTATTATTATTATTATTATTATTATTACACTGTATCCATTGTGAACACCATCCACTAAAAGAAATACTGTATTCAGCCTGCCTTGTAAATAAATTTATTACTTTGTTTCAACAAGCAGCTGTCTTAAGTGATTTCGGAAACACATTAAAAATGCTACCTATATTGAGAAAAGTCTTTTAGGTTTGTGACCCATTAGATAGTGTGTGTGTGGCTGTCAAAGAATAGTTGGTGTCAAGTTAGGGAAAATAGAGAGTTATAGTGCAAGAAACAATAAAGAGAATCCAGGGTTTGAGTCTCATCACAATAAATTGGTGGTAGCATTGGGATCCAAAAGACTCATTGGGGTGCCATCCAAGAAAGTACTTGGGTGGGTGAATCTCACCATGACAGTGGGAGATAAATCCAATAAATAAATAAATAAATGATTAACATAGCTATCTGGATGATAATTTTGAAAATTTCCTTGTAAGAAAATACATATTTCAAAGCAAGTAACAATGCCATCTGACAGAGCTGTTTCCCCCAACACACACACACACATAAAACAGCCTTACCATTTCTTATTTTGATTTCTCCTTTTTGTAAATCCCTTCTGTATCTACCCTGTATCTATTGCACTGATTTCCTACTATTAGTTACACTACAGTAGATAATGGAATTCTAATAAATACAAATATATAAATCTCTAATAAATTCTAATAAATAGAAATATATAAAATTGTAAATAAATACAAATACATAAATTATATATAAATATATAAGACTCTTTTAATATAATATAATATAATATAATATAATATAATATAATATAATATATGTCTGAGCAAATAATTCAAAGTGCTAAACCACACAAATAAGTCATGTAAATGTAGAAATGGTCCTTCTGAGAGGACTTGACTTCTCTATTATTTTAAACCACTTACAAGAAATCTTAGGATGCACAGCAAACAACTATCTGCCATGCCCACAATAAGTTTCTGGTTATCCTCCCAGCTCTTCCTTTTATCCTGGTAACAACCAATTCAGCTACATAGAAGTCTTGAGAAAATAAAATTGAACTTTCATTTTTCTAAATCTAGTGAGATGAACAGCATTGCTGTAACAAGTCTGTTGCAGCAGAACAAACAAATAAAAAAGTGCTGGAGTCCATGGTACCTTAAATATTAATACTTTTATTATGGAATTTTACTCTGCTCTATCTTGCTATTGCATTTCCCCCTTCATTCTATGCACAATTTGCTGGTAGCTGGTTGAAGACTCTAAGATTTCAATCAACAATGAAAGGCAATAGTAAATCCGTATCTCACAAAAAAAAGAAAGAAAAGAAAAGAAAAAGGGATGCACTTAGTGCCTTTTATCTCAGCATCCAGAAAGGCTACAGACCGTTTGTGTGTGGGGGCGGGGGGAGGTAGAATTCCCTCACAACATTTCTGGGTTTCTGCAGCTCAACATATATTTTTTGTACAGGAATCAGCATTTTCAGATTTCCATGTAGAAAATCATATTTCTACATGGAAATCTTATTTTCCATGCAGAAAAATGCTGATTCCAATGCAAAAAAAAAAAAAAAATGCTGATTTCTGTGCAAATCAACCATTTGTGAATTTTATGCAGAATAAGTTGGGAAAACTTATTTTTGAAGTTCTCCTCACAGTGGGAAGAAAATGGTCAAAATTACTCATTGCTTCCTTCAAAAAGAAACTTAGTAAAGAATTACATCCCTATATTTCTGTGTTGTGCGTCTTTGCATTGTTTCCAATTTATGGAGATCCTAAGGCAATCCTATCATGGAGTTTTCTTGACAAGATTTATTCAGAGGGGGTTTGTCATTGCCTTCCCCTGAGGCTGAGAGCATATGACTTGCCCAAGGCCACCCAGTGGGTTTCATGGCTGAGTGGAGAATTGAACCCTGGTCTCCAGAGTTGTAGTCCAACACTCAAACCACTACACCACACCGGCTCTCTTTATATTTGGCCAACCAAAAAAGCACAAAAATCATTTTGGAATCTTAGTAAAACCAATGTTACTTCATTAGTTTTTTTTAAAAAAAATCTGGGTTTAAACAAATATAACAAGCAGAGGAAGGAGGGGCGGGGGAAATGATTGTGTTAGAATCACTTGGTCTACAATTTGTCCCACAACACAGACCTACCCAGAATAAAGTTTTGAAACATCAAGTTGGATTCAAACTGGTCACATCTTTACCAAATTCAGTTGATTCTGCAAGAAGCCAACTGAAGTGCAAGCAGAATAAGAACAACAGTATCCTGGCTCCAAGTCTCATCCAGAATAACTTCTGGGGCAGCTTTATCTCAGTGTATCTGACTAGTTCTCCTAACCTTCACTGGTCAGTGTTCAGAAGGAGAGAAACTGCCATATCCCCCTCAGTTCCCTGTGACCCCACCATCCCACCCCTCAACCTGAAGTTGTTAGTAGGCTATGACACCATGCTTTCACCAAAGTGGTGCCTCAGCATGCCTACTGTGATCTCTAAAACAAAACCCTCCATTCCTAGATCCACACTTTTATGGTAGATGTGACACAAACAAATAACCAAGCAAACCAAACCAAGCAAACAGCAGTAAGAAGTTATAAAATAAAAGGCTTTTCTAAAAAAAACTAGGTAGAAGTAGCCTAAATAATTCCTCCTTGGCCCCACAACTACCATAAAAGAAGTGGGGGAAACTCGCAGGCTGACAGCCAAAGGAAAAGACTGGCCCTCAGATAGTATAAGAGAAAGGACATATGCAGACTATCAGATTAGGCTCTGAAGACTGCAGTTTATCCCCAATGGCCCTGGCCTCACAAAGAAGAAGTAAGGCAATAAAAAAGCTATATAATTTGGAGAAGACAAAAACCAAAAACAAAATCCAACTCTCTACTGGAGCATACAAAAGGTCTCCTAAACTGCACACCATTCTGCACCTAGTGCAAAGTTCACAAACCCCTTTCTTATCAAAAATATGTGAATTCCTCAGGTTGTCTCTGTATTGTAAGGAACAGGAATGAATGTAGGCTTCAAAGTCCTCAAAGACCGCTCTGAATAATTTTGGTTTTAGTTAGAACAAATCACATCCCTCAGAAAATAAAATCTCATTTTAACATAGGAAACACTCCTCTTCCTTCACTGTAGGATTCAGTTGCTAAACAGCTAGATTCAGTAGTCTTCAAGTCATTGAAATTCAGGGCTAGCATTTTTATACCCAACATGGCCTTTGGAATATGTCAACATGGCTACCTTAGAATTTTGAGGACAGTAAGAAAATTTATTTTATTTAATTTATTTGTTTATTTTATATTCCCTCTTTCTTCCCCATGAGGTTAACACAGAATAAAACAAAATGCAGCTAAGACAAAATCAATGTAGTAAAAACAGTTTATCAACCATTAAATTAAATTAAATTAAATTAAATTAGACCTTCCTAATAAATAAATAGCCTTTGCCTGCTGATAGAAAGTAAACTTTAATGGGAATCAGATTTTTAATACTCATTTTAAAATGGAGACAGCATATATCTAGAAAACCCACTTTTATCTTTTGTATATTTTAGCTACATGAAGTTTTATTTATCTCGTTTTGTATT